TAGTAGTAGTAGTTCTAGTCTAGGCGCTTGTGATACTTTTCTGTAGCTGACAAAGACATCGACACACAAACAGACATATAGGCATATAGGGAGGCGCTTGGAATGCTTGAATTGTGGACACCGGGGACACCCTGTCTGGACCGAGCATCGATGGAACCAATGGACAACTGGCTAACATCTCACTGTAACTAGTGCTTGCGCCAAGTGTAGTTTTGTGGTTAGGGCATCTTGGTTCAATGCTTGGCCCTTGGCCGCTGGGCAAACATGCATAGTTACATACCAGGCGCATATGGGATGAAATTGTTCACAATAATGGATGAATGTTTTGATTGTGTTGTCGAGCTTGTTAATGCGTTGACCGACTGTCGGATTGCCAATTCATCAATTGATCTTGTTTGAACTGCGCGCCCAATCTTTAGCCGGCCATCACGGGCCATCACGTCACAGTTTGCGAGTCACAAGTGTTTGAGGGAATTGTCGACCCAAGTTTTGGTTTTGAGACCAGTTTGCGTGATCTGGCTCTTGGGCCAGTGGCCAGTGGTATTGTGGCTGTTGGGCATTTGGTGGTGTGTAAACCCCATGTTAGGCAAATGGCAAACGGACAAACGGCTACACTAACCTTTACACCCCCAGTGTCCATTGGGAAACTTTGGAAACTGCTTGTGACTTCCAAGCTTTTAGATCAAGGTGAGTCCTGGCGGCAGTGATGGCACCAAGACCGATGGACAGCATGAGGCCAATGTTGACGGGCAGCCTCAATCTGCCAGTTTGGCTACAGGTGCTGCCGGTGATGGGACAAAAGGGTCATTGAAGAAGCTTGCGTTCAAGGGCTACGATGAACGGGAGAAGGCGCAATACAACACGACCGTGCTTTCTTTGCTGGGTGATGAAGGAAGACCCCTCACAGCTTTGGATGAGGTCTTGAAAGCCCTTATCTTCATGTGCGACATGATTGAGAAAGACAGCAAAACAAACACAGGCGCTGGGGAGCTGGGGAATCGTGTTTGAAATGGCGTGTGGTTGTGGTTTTTTGAAAATTGAACATAGGGTTAACGGTATGTTTCTTAGTCGTCGTGGCCTCAGGAAAAATAAGCAGTTTTTAGCTATGTGCTGTGCACATTGTCAAGTGACAGTGTCAAGCAGTTCAACCAGACTCAATACAGTTGGACATTTTCCCATGCACTGTTGCTGTAATGATGTTTGATGTTCAGTGCTTCACATTGACTCAACAATTCAGCAAACAATTGACAAACAAACAAACCCATGGTAGGCAAGGACATGCCCGTGTCCGATGAAGATGAAGAAGCACGTGTGGAGCAGCTGGTGCAGAAGTACAAGGGCCCACTGTCTTTCTGCTTGTCAGTGTGGACGGTGTTTGTGTGGACGGGTCAAACTGTTGTCAGCTGCAAAATCTTCAGATCCTATTCGCTTCTACGTTCTGAGCTTCAGAATGTACTCTTGAGAGCTTTCCAGAAATTAAAGGTGGACCCTTCCTTGGGCGCAGCAGCTTCCACAACCGCATCTTCATCTACGACTTCGGCGTCCGGCAAGACCAAGGGGAAGAAAGGTAAAGAGGATGGTGGAGTGGCTGCTATGCCTGCTTTGGAATTGGCTCAGAGGCTTTGCGCAAGCTTCTCAGGCGAAGCGACCTCAGTGGCCGTTGACGAGACTGGCGACGATGATGAAGATGCAGCACTGAACCGCATCATGACCATTATGAAGCAGAAGAAGGACTCCATTGCACAACCTCTCCAGAAGTTTGTGAAAGAGTCGCTACACCTGCCCATGACTCTTCACAGGGCAGTGTTGAACACAATTCAAGAAGTGGCAATGTTGGGGGGCTGAATCCGCCGCCGAGTCCAGCCAGCGACAATCTTCTTCCGCTTCTACACCTTCTCTCTCCAAGAAAATGCAGCAGCGGGACATCATGGATTTGCTTAGCCTGATCAAGAAGAACATGGAAAGCCATACTCCTTGCACATGGTTCTTGTTCGCTATGGATGTGACTGAGCTCTATGGTGCCCGAGGCTTCTTCCCACACGGAACGCAGGAGGCTGGCCAATTCCGAAATTCAACTCCGAATTTATATGTTATGTCACTGTTTGTGTCCTGGTTACTGGTTACCTTCTTCTGTTTATGTTTTAGATGTTGAGGCAAACAGCAACTAGTAGGTTATTACTTAATTACTTATATAATTGTGCAACGCTGCAACACCGCAACACCGACACAGCGCAGGTTTTCTTGTCGCCAAATCAATTGGAAGAGCTTCTGTGCTTGAGATGTCGCTACGTCATCTTCATTGCTGCAGAGGTCAAGAATTCTTTCAGTCACATCATCAATTTGCCAGAGAACGTGAAGTCCTTGATCGAAGGCTTGGCCTCGCTCTTGAAGATCTTTGCAACAGGCAGCGGTGCCAGGAAACAGGCAAGTATTGCTGACTCGGCTGAAGAGGATTTGAATTACTACGCTGTGGCAAGCCAATTGAACCAGTTTGACAACTTGCAGCCGCCTTCATCCTGGGTGTCATCGTGGGCAACTTTGTTTGCTTCAGCGTCCAACTTGAAAGATTTGCAGCTCTGGCTCCAGGACCAGATTGGATCTTCTGGAGAGCCAAGCCTGAATCCTTTCTACAACGTCAACGTGGGTCGGATGGACCAAGTGTCATTGCAAAAGCAACCCGATGACCAGAATGGGGCAGACTCAGCCGAGGTTGAGGTGGCCAAGGGTGGAAAGGCAAAGACTTTGGACGAAACAGACCAAGAGAAGGGAAAGACAGGAGAAGCTGGGGCTCAGCAGGTTTCTGAGGAGAAAGCGGAGAAAGCCGGAGAACTTTCTATTACCAAGCTTACCAACATGGTCTGCGTTGAGACTGTGAATGCATTCCACGATATCACAAACAACAACAAAGACTCCTCTACTCTTTTGCACCTCTCCCAGGAAGCACAAGCTCTCGGCATTGATTTCCGAGAAGCTTTCACGGCCGATGGAATGAAGGTGTTGGAAAACAAAATGGCCACGGTCATGTGGAAGTCTTTTCGGAAGTACTCGACCCAGAACTCGGCTGTTTTCGTGAATATGCAGGCTGAGGATTCGAAAGGCCGAGTGCTAGTGAAAAGGCCTGTTCCTGACACCCTCCAACTCCCATTTGCTGGGCCGATTTCTCAAAGCCAGCAAGTGACCAAAGATGGAAAAGGGTTCTTTCTTTGCCGGATATTTGGCATTCCATTTTACGCGTCCCACCAACCTTCGGATGTGATGCTGCATGATGTGATGGTTCCAGCTTGGGCAGTGAGAAACGCGTCCAAGGCAGACCAAGCCTTCTTTGTTCAGGCCAGCGTGATGGCATACATACCTGAGTGCATCTCCTCACCAACCCTTTTGGATGTCGAGCTCATGTTTGTGGGCTGTGACATGGACAAGGATGCAGTGGCCAATCCTTACTCAAGAGTATGCTCCTTGTCTTTGACAATGTAGCTATTGTAGCTTCTATTTGCTGATGGTGTTGAAGTTGGGGGTGTTCATGTGTGTTGATGTTTCGTTTGGGTTACGGATTACGGGTTTCCTTTCCTGTGCTTGCATCTTCCTTTTCTACCTTCCGTGGCCCAAGGCTTTGTGGATTTCGACGTGAACTACCTGATGCCTTCAACCCTCATTGAAGAGAGTTTGGCAGCGCAGCACGAGCGCAACAAGGAAAAGGCAGACAAGTTGGCAAAGTCAATGATCAAAACCACCCTCAAGCAGCAGAGCAAGGCTCAGAAGCAAAACTCCAGCAAGAAGGGCGCAGGACGAGGAGGTGGCCGCAAGCGCAAATCGGCTGAGATGAGCGACAGTGATCAAGAAACAAATCCTGTCAACGTTGAGGCCCAGGCTGCTAAGGATGCTGCATCCATTTTGGAGAAAGCTGAACAGCAGCAGGGGAAACTTGACAGCCTCTTGGCAGACCATTTGAATCAAATCAAGATTCCGGATTACATCCCCATCACCCGTCTTGCCACGGTCGAGGAGAAACAAGCAAGGTCAGCAAGGGGCTTGGTTATCCAAGCTGCACTGGCGCAAGCAGAAGCAGTGAAGGCAGAAGCACAGCAACTTGCCAAAAGCCAGAAACCCAAGAAGGATGAATCGCAAGATGCTGTTGCTCCGCAGCTTGGCATTCGCGCTTATGCTGAATCCTTTGCAAAAAAGACGACTCCTGATTCGGGCAAGGGCAACCAGAAGGGTTCGAAAGGAAAAGGTCGTGCCTCCGGGAACAACAACAATGCCGAGGACAAGGACGCCGCCGCGCTTGAGGTAATGAAGCTTGGTCGGCGTCTACTGAAGTGAGTGCCTGGCGGCTAGGAAGCGGATGCATGAATGGCCACGCCAAAGGGGGGCAGTGGCGCTTAGACAGACCCTGTTCAAGTTCTTCTAGTTTCCTTACCTTCCATCTTTCGATGGATCTTCATGAATAGATAGAGTGTCTTAGACAAAGATAGTTTTGCCCTTGCCTTAGTCCAGTACAGTTCGCCTTTGAAATCAGAGGCATGGAGGGTGTTTGGCCCGATTTCTCTCTGGCGGCACAGAGACCTGTTCGCTAAGGCAGTTGCGCAAGAAAGAGTGAAAACACTGTGATTTTTTGCAGTGTTTCTGTGAATGTCTGTCTGTGCTTGTTCACCCTATGCTTGATCATTTTGAGACGATGATGTCCAATCTTTCATACAACATGTACGCCTGGACGCTAAAATTAAAGAATGTTTTTCTAAGGGCAACAATCGTGAATAAACGCAACGGCTGCTTTTGGCATCCTTCGTATTTTTGAGCAACACGGTGATAAAAAAAAGAACACACGTGACCTGGAGCCTCTGCTGAAATTTTTGGGGTCTCCTATTGGAGGCCCAGCCTAGAAAACCATCCGCGCCCCAAATATTTATGGTTTCAACATACAGCTGAAACCGCACGTCACGAGACCAAGACCTTGCACAGTACACAGTCCGTACACAGTCGGTACAGAGTACTCTTCCAAGGTGCTGGGTCTTGCAGGCAAACCTTGGCGTTTGCGTCACCTCATCGCCAGCTTCATCAGCCCAACCAGGTTCCTTGGATACCTCAGTTTGAAACAGAAAGGGGTGTCGCCTCAGGGGAGTGGCTTGCTATGTTGGTAGTTCAAGCTGTATGTAAATTTCAATCATTTGCTCGTAGATTCTGGTGGTTACTGTTCGTCAGTTTGTTTGGCCTTGTACCAGTTACTGTAGTTTGGCTTATCATGCTTGTGATATGTGGCCAGCTAGGATGCAGCGCATGGACTTCGAGGACAACATAATGTAAGGGCTTTTCTTGGAAGGCTTTTTTGCTGTGAACGTGCTGGCAGTGTTGAGCACCTCGGTCCATATTTAATCAGGGTTTGCGGACTTTGTGGTGTCCGGAGTCCCATCAACACCTTGTTTGCTATTAGGTGCTGGTGGATGGCTACTTGAGGAGCTCTTTCTATTTTGCCGGAAGTTAAATCATGGTGCAGAGTTTGCCAAGCTTGATCCACATTTGGTGGTTCCGTCCAGCTTAGACATCATGCTGGAAGGTATGCTAGATGCAATTTGTTTCGTGGTTGGATGTATGCTGCTATTGCTTGCTGCATCGACATTCTTGCACAAATTTGGCACTGCAAACAATCCTGCAGATTCACTACTTTTGTGCTATCCTTTGCTTTTTGGCCCTGCTGCCTTGATTCGGATCTTCCTTTGCAACAGCCGACGTTTGCTTTATCACAGCTTGTTTGAGCAGGGAGTGATCTTAGATTTCAACAATACAAAGACAAGCCGAGATTTGCTGTTGGTCTACACGTACATGGGCTTTGCAGTTGCAGTTGGGGTGCTATTGTTCGACTCTGCGCAAAGTGCACAAGAGGGAAGCATGAGTTGGAAAGCAATGGCCATTAATACTGTGATCTTTACATCCCCGTTGTATTACATGGTTTCATCGCTGCTGAATTCTCTCAGATTGGAGCTGGAGGCGATCAATTGCATGTGCTTGCAGAGACTGGATACATCAGAGTTGGATCACTCAGCCCACGATCGTGTCGACAGACTGCCGCCTTCGCCGCAGCTTACGCAGCTGACTCAGCTGACTCCGATCGCTGAGGGCCACTTTTGCCGAACTGCAAGGAAAGAAAGTCGCTCGAGAGAAATAAAAGATGTCATCCGCATCAGCATTGACATCGCCAAGAAAACAAGGTCCTCACACCACTCAGTATCACAGCCGGATGCTGATATGGACTACTTTCGTCTTACCGACATGTTCTGGGTACCTCGTTTGGTTTCTGGCAAGTCAAAATCCGCGATTCTCCTTGTGACTTCAATGCCAATTCTGGCACTCCTGGCCATGCTGTTGGGTTTGGTTAGTTTGGCTTGGCTCATCAAGCATCGAACAGATGCGCCAGAGATTGAAGTCTTGCGGGCAGATGTGCCCGGATTGACCCCAAACTTTGACTATGAGATCACAGACTACACACTTGCGTACCCAAGGACTCAGTCAGGAGTAACCTTCAGTGTGTATGCGGGCACTGACCGCACCGGCTTTATTAACGCGTCCGTCATGGATGGTAGTACTCCTGTGGGTGACCCACAAGTATCAACCTCGGGATCGAGCCTAGTTGGCAAACAGTGCTGCTGCTATTGTCCTGTTAAGTGCACAAGGACTTTGTTCAGCCTTCATGTCACGCTCAGCTTGTTTCTTTGAAAGGGATCTGAGGCTCACTTACCATGTACAACTTACGGGACAGAAATTCTACCCCACGGTCGTTGAATTCAAGGCTGGTACTCACAGCCAGGCAGCTTGAAAGCACGCATGCTTTGGTGCAGTTGGTATTGCTTGTCAACTTTTGTTTGACGAGAAGGATTCAATCACTTGATTTGTGTGAGTTGTTAAAGCGTTGAATTCGGCCAAGATGAAGGTCAGGAATTATCGCATCACCGCCATACAGTCTGAAGTCATCATTAGCAGAGCCCTGAGAGATCTGCAAGTCGGAGCAAGTCATAATCGTTGGCAGTTCAGTTTGCCTAAAAATCTAGAAACCAAATCGAAATCATCAGTACGAAGCGTGAGCTATCCTGCTTAGTTCTTAGTTAAGTAGGCGCCTACTTAACTAAGTAGGCAGCGGGGTGAGTGGGCTTAAACAAAAGAAGCAAGGAAAACGTATTTGAAGCTCCATCGAGCTCCAAATTTCTTTTCTCGTTCACTTGGTTCACTCAGGAAGTGTGTTCTTGCATGGCATTACAACCAGCGGCAGCAAGTACAGGCGGTGTATTCGATGGAAAGAGATCGTGCATGGTGCGATTTCTATTCCTGAAACTTTGACCGATATGTTCCGAGCTAAGACATTTGAGAGTGTATCATGGAGATTTCTGGTTTGTCTTGAATTGTGATAAGGCAAATGGATTTTGCCTTGCAAGAGTTTCATTGGGGCCTTCCCTTCAATGAATCTTTGGACGGCCATTTCGTCCCAGTCTTCAAGAGACCTGAAGATGTACTCAATGCTTCAAGACAGCATTTATATACATCCTCTGTAACTTTTCACCTTTGCATTTATATATTGCATTTCATATTATATAATGGTGACCCAAAGGTGCTAAGAAAGGGGTGAGGGCCATTTTTGCACTTTGTGGGCGAGGAAAGTGTTCAGATTCTCCAACGAAGCTCCCCTTCCCTCACCCCATTCAGCAACAAGCTTGAAGAATGCAGCTAGCTGTAAAAAGCTGCAAGAAAGTAAAACATGATTCGTAGGTTTGGGGTGTACTGAGGTCAGACAGCAAGCTGTTGGCTGTGGCACATGGTGCCGACTGCACCCTGAATGCTGGGGCTTGAAGGAGGCAGACAACGGTTGCTCAGCGAGACTTGAGCACCCACTGTTTTCGGTGTTTTCGTTCCAGTTCCAGACCTTCTCCACTTTGTTCCATATCTGAAGACTTACTGTATGTCACTGTTCTTTTGCATGGTGCATGTTGCCGCTCTGAAAGGGGAGCACTACAGGACAGGCGGCCTGTAAGGATGAAACTATATATTCAAAGAGCGCACACCTCAACACGTAATGAGACCGTAGCATCGCGCCAGAACCTGCCACTCCACCGGTGACAACATGTGGGTCACTTCCCAAGGACAACGCCTGCATTCTCTTTAGGCCAATGAAAGGTAACAATATTCATTTATGGGCATATTGTGAAAACGGTTTCACAAAGGTAGCCGCAAAACTGTCAACTATATAAGTAAAAGACGCTCAAGCCAGGGGGTCTTTTCAGCCTAGCTTTCGCCGCCTTTCGCGGCTCTTCAGGGCTAAATGCTGCACGGATGGCGAAAAACAATGATGCCATGTGTGCAGCTCACGACAGATGGCAAAAAAAATGTGTCCCACCTCAGCCTATCCCACGAAATTCCAAACTTCAGCATATCTACGTCTGAAAAGGCTACAGCCGATGCTCCAGCAGGTGCCTACTTGAATCGACGGCACACTCTGCTTCAGCAAAGGCATGAACTTCTGAATTTTGTCTGACAGCCATCTGGAAGAGACATCTTTATTGAACCGCACTTTCAAGAAAGCCTTTCGCACTGACTCACGTTGTCTCGTTCCATGGGCCCGTTTGGCTTGGAAACGTGCCACAAGCCTGTCAAAGCATTTCATATCAAAACCACGGTCTTTCAGGCGCTTCTTGAAGAAGGAAATGCTTGCAGCCACATCTTGCTTTAACCTGTTCCTTCTTTGGCATCTAATAACACCACCCAGCTGAAGGCTTTTGAAGGCTGCTGCAGGATGGCAACAGATACAAGTACAGATTCTTCGGCTTGTGGTATATACTCCAGTGTACTTTCCGCGGAGGCGAAATGCCCAGAGTAACATCCAAGAAAGGAACCGTACATTGCCCAGAAATCTCGAACTGAATTGACTTGTGCCAGCTATTGACAGCAGTGAGCAGCGCATCAGTATCAACACTGCAAAGCGCCAACAGGTCGTCAATGTAACGCCTGCAGAACTGCAAATGAGAACCTAAGCGTTGCTCCAAGAACTTGTCAAAATGCCAAAGATAAATGTTTGCCAGGATACTTGCCACCTGCAGACCTGTAGGGATGCCATCCTCTGACTGGAAAAAACGGCCCTCAAATGAAACAACACCAGCTTCCAGCACTAGTGCAAGAACTCGAACCAGGAAATCTGCCAGACCTGCTTTCACGTGTCTTCTCACGAAGGGGCCCACCAAAGACAGAAGATGAATCCGATCCGGTATAAGTTTACAATGTCCAGCGTGACAACCCTCATTCCAGGCTTACAAAGACATGGCTGTAGAAAATACAGCAGCTGGTCTGTAGAGACAATCACTGTCTCTAAACGCCCTACCAAAGGTCCTAGGTGCTCCACCAAGAAAACCGTGAAGGGTAAGAACCAACATGCACGCAAATTGCAAATGGGCCTTGACGCCGTCGGCTGTTTGTGAACTTTTGCCAGGACTCGAAAAACACCAGCGGAACTCTGAGCAAACCTGCTAAGCAAAAACTTCTGCTCAGCAAATGTAAGGACTCCTGACGCAACAAAAAACTGCACCAGGGCATCGGCATTGTACTTCAGCTCAACTAGCTTCGCGTCCCGCTGTTCTTGAGTAATTTGCACATAACCCTGGCGAAGCTGAAGCTCAACTTGTGCAAGCAACCAACTCCTCAAAACGATGGCATCACCAAGGCCTTTGTCGCAATCTATCACCAAAACTGAAGAAGCATGCTGCTTCAACCAACTCCGGGCTTTCCGGTCAAGGAATGACTGGTTTGCTCTGAAAGGCTTGGGCTCAAAAGATGCAAGCTCACGAGACAGAACGCGAACATAAGACTCAACCCCAACATCTCCAGGCGGCATCCAGGCGCTCTTCAAACGACACTTCGAGACAGCTCCCCGAGGCTCTGCAAAAAACTGGCAAAGAAGGAGTTGCCGTTTGAGGTCAGCAAGCCCAGTCATAACTTGCTTTGCCGAAGTCGGCTTGTGAGTGGGCACAAACTTGCCACCCTTTGCAACATGCAAAAGGACAAACTTGGGAATAGCTAGGAAATCCTCAGGGACCAAATTGTGTACTCCTTTAAAAGCTTGCCTGTGCAACAAAGAACTGAATCAATCACAGTCCGGTCTGCATCAAACCAAAAGGAGCGGCCCCTGCGCCGATGCGCTATTTTCGCTTCGACTTGCTCTTGCCTTTTCCCTTTGACTTGCCTTTCTCCTCACCCTTCCCTGCAAACCTCACGGCCTTCTGAGATGCATCTCGCTGTCAGCTGGGAGATCTCGAAGGCGAACGCGACGAGTTCAGAATTGAACGAGGTGTGGCTGACTTGCTGGCACTGTCATCACGACCAGCTCCTTTCCCGCACGGCGACTTCTTCCTGGGAACTCTCTTCGGCGTTAGCTCCCTCTCAGGCCGGGAGGCGGAAGCTGGAACCATCTTCAAATTGTGCTTTTGGCAGAGCTCAGCGTTGTCTTTGACCAGAAAGGCTAAGGCACTGTCATCTCTAATCTTGGTTGACCCCTTTTGCTTTGCCCCAAGATGCTTAAGTTCAAACAGAGCTGGGGACAAAACATCCTTCACATCCATCTCTTCCCACCGACTTCTAGCTTCAAGCAAAGCCTGCTGACGCTTCTCTTGAACCTCTTTCTCCTTGGACATCCGGCTTCGGATTTTAGGCCTCTCAGTCCGAATGAGGGACTCCACAAACTGCTGAGCGCGCTGCTTCAGAGCTTGCTTCATGGCAACATCGTCATACTCATGTTCAGCAAGCCAAGCATCCAAACGGTCCAACAACTTCTGCTGCAAGGACTGCATGGAAATTTCGTTCTCATAAAACTTCACACATTGCTGCTGGTGCTCGCAGACAAAGCTGAAGCATTCCCGTGCATGTTTCAGCCGGAGAGCTGACCAAGCCTCTGCGATGTCGTATGAACCGTCCTGCATGTCCCTTCCGTCAGGCATCAGTGGCTGCGCATGCGCAGCGAACAGCTTTGTCCATTGCCATTTGTGGTCAGCCTCAGCTTGCAGGTGAGGGTGAAGCTTGCCTTCCTCTGAGAGCTTTGCATACTTCGCTTGCACCTTCTTCTGCGTTTCCCATGCCTCGAAGAGATGCAAGGCTTCTTTCCGAAAAGCAGTAAAAACTTGTTGCAGGGCCGGGTCGACCCCTACAAGCGCTTTCTGCGGACCTTGGAAAAGCTTGGACTCCAAGTTGCCTTTGCTAGTCAAAGCCTCAAAGTGAGCCTGTGAATTCTGAACTTGAAGCTGCATCGCCTGCAACTGCTCCATGAGAAGGCGGTTCTGTTGCACTAACAGGAGCTCAACTCCAGTCCGCTCACCTTCAACGCTTTGGCCCCTAGGCCCTAGGTCGACCTGCTGCTGTGAAGCCCGAAGTAGGCGCAGGGGATCTCGTTGACTCCCTACCTCTCATAGATGAAGTGAAGGCTGGTAGACTAGCACCACCCATAAGCACAGGACTTGCGCCTGCCAGCTGAATGGTGATTTGCCATGGCGAAGGCCTAAAGTTTGCACAGCACAACTAAGTAAAAGACGCTCAAGCCAGGGGGTCTTTTCAGCCTAGCTTTCGCTGCCTTTCGCGGCTCTTCAGGGCTAAATGCTGCACGGATGGCGAAAAACAATGATGCCATGTGTGCAGCTCACGACAGATGGCAATTTTTTCTGGCAAAAAATGTTTTTGCCGCTCTGAAAGGGGAGCACTACAGGACAGGCGGCCTGTAAGGATGAAACTATATAATCAAAGAGCGCACACCTCAACACGTAATGAGACCGTAGCATCGCGCCAGAACCTGCCACTCCACCGGTGACAACATGTGGGTCACTTCCCAAGGACAACGCCTGCATTCTCTTTAGACCAATGAAGGGTAACAATATTCATTTATGTGCATGTTGTGAAAACGGTTTCACAAAGGTAGCCGCAAAACTGTCAACCAGCAAACAGCGCACCTCCAGCAAACAAAGAGACACCCCTCTCTCTGTCCCTGCTGCCCAACACGCTCTTTTGCCAGCGCCTGCTCTCCTGAGTGGTTCTGCGGGTCGAACAACGGGCAGCGTCCTCGCTGGCAAAGTGCACAGCCTCGTGCTATGCCTTCGGACTCAAGCAGTCATGGCCCCTCCTCAGCCCTCCGCGAACTCGCGCCAAAAGGCTTCGGCGCATGACGCAACAAATGCTCTCTCTCTTTCTCTCTCTCTCTCTCTTGATTGACAAGCACCTTTGGTGGTCGAAGTTGGAAATTCACAGCATATATCTATATATATATATATGTATGCACACATACGCGCACATACTGTATTTACTAGATACACATATTCACGAAAGCCAGCCGGTAGGCTAGGCTTGAGTTTCTGGAGTGAACGAAGTGAGTAAAGGGGGGTGTGGGGGGGTGGTTGCGTGGGTGGTCACTTCCGGAGAGGTGAACCCAGAGCCTGGTGGGGGAGAGCGACAAAAAGAGGCGGGCCACTTGGTAGTGAAAATGGGTTGTTTTTTGGGATGTTGTGATGCTGGTGATGTAATTGACGGCCAGTAGTGCATCATCAGCATCATGAGGGGCTCAGGAGGCCATGTAAACTGTTTTTCCCCAAACAGTTTATTGTTGGGCTTAGAAAAGAGGGGCCACACTCACTGGCCGCGCCCCTGAACTCTGTGGTCCTCTGTGGCTGGGCTCTGTGGCTGGGCTCTGTGTCCAGGCCTTGTCCTCCTCTTGTCCTCCTCTTGGCCGCGCCCTGGGCTGTGTGGCTGGGCTCTGTGTCCAGGCCTTGTCCTCCTCTTGTCCTCTGTGGCTGGGCCTTGCCGCCGAACAAATAGCGACGTCAATGCCGACAAAAATTCATTGATGAAGCAGTTTGCTCTTGGGGTGAAGGTAGGGCGTGCCAAGAAATCAATATTTTTTGACTGATATTGGTCTAAGCGAATCGTTTTGAAGCTGTTTGGGGCCTATGCTTGTATAATTACTAGGGGTGGGAGTTCACGTCGATGAGAGGAAAGGGAAGACAAGGGGACGTGAAAAGCTGGTTGGAAGTCACCGTATACTTGAGAGCAGGAGAGAGAGAACAGATTGCAGTTGCGGGGAAGCGTTGGAGGCGGAAGGATTTGAGTTGCTTAGGGGTGCCCGTTTTTGTTCGTGGCAAGGTCTAGTTGGTGGACTCAAAAGGGCACCCCATATGGGGAGTATCTAATCACGAGAGCCAGCCGTCAACTCACTTGAAACATAGACCAGCACACCATACGAAACCTTCCCCACACTACACAGGTGCCCTTTTCACCTCCGCACAACGCCCCGACATCAAGACGAAAAAGGGCACCCCGTCCCAAACCTATGTATTCTATTGTCTATTTCCATTCTATCTCGAATGACGGCCATATCCACTTCACCACTTCTGGCCCCTCTTTGTCCACTCTACCTACATACATATATGTATCCTCACGAAAGCCTGCCGATAGCCTCGCCCATAGGCTTCCCGCAACCATCTTTGCTCACTGATTAGCAACACGCAGCAAGCAAACTCATATAAAATATTCTTGATGACTTTGAGGGGTGCCCTTTGTCATCTCCAAAACACTCCTCAACCAGGACGAAAAAGGGCACCCCCCTTTTTACTTCTACCATCTGTTTCTACCTCCTATCAGGCACCGGCGATACCAACTTCACCCCACACACGTACTCCTTACACAATGTTAGCCTATCACTTCATCTTCCACCCGCACGTCGCTCCCATATCCACCTCACCACTTCCTGCTGCTCTTTTTCCACTCTAGCTTGCACACTGATGTCTATATACGGGGACCTCCTCACCTACCCTACCCTTTGCCTCCCACGTGCACCCCCGCCGCCGTCTGCTCCCTGGTTCGCAACACGCCGCCGGCAAAGGCGCCTCACTTCCTGAGGGGTGCCCTTTTTCATCTCAAAATTCTCCCTAAACAAGGACAGAAAAGGGCGCCCCCCCCAGACCTATATCTTCTACTGTCCATTTCTACCCTCTCCCTGTGGCTGCGATGTCAACTTTCGCACCACGAACTTTCTGTTTCCCCGATGGTGCCTTGCACGCCACGTTGTTGCGCGAGCGTACCCTAAGAGCACCCCCCTAAGCCAGAGGCTGGCTTTCGTCCCCTCCCCTCTCAGTCTGTTGTGCAAACATCAAAGCTTGACTTTTGGTACAAACTGTACTACGATCCAATGATAGGGCCGGCAGAAAGTGCAGAGGGTGCCGCCAACACCATCGCGTCAGGCCAATGTACACATTTATAAACAATTCCCCAGTCTTGTGCCCTGGGACCCAGTTCCGAGCTCCTAGCAGCGCTCATGTTTTGTGTGCTGGACCAGCCATGGCCTGCTCCATGGACAATCGTAAAAGAACACTCAGGGCCACCTTTTGGCCGCGCTCCAAGCAAAGTCCATTAGTTTCCATTACGGGAGCTGGCCGGAGCTGGCAGATTGAAAGAGTTAAGAATCGGACAACATCTGAAAACGGTTGAGGTTGGGCTAGTTTTGGGTAACTTACAAAGAGGGTGAGACAGACTGCTGTTACTCACAGCGTGCTCGGGCTAGAGAGCAAGAATGTTTTGGCGCTTTCCATTCTGCCGTATGAAAGAAGAAAACACATCGGTTGCCATGCGGCCATGGGGAGCGGGAGCGTGCGCTGAGACGGGTTACATGCCAGGTGACCAACACTTTTCCCACCAAAATGTGCAGTAAACACAAAGGCTTTGGGCGCAGGGCGCAGAGAATGGAAGGAACCTTGATAAAGCTTGAAGCTGAGGTTGCTATTTTGTTATTGGTCCAAGTCCGTCCAGTACAAGCTGTGAGGATCTTCATGCAGCAAAGGCTTCTGAACCTCCGCACCTTGGAGTGTCAGTGCCCAGGCAAGGAAACATGCGAGGAAACAACGAAAGGTAGGGGCCCCATTAATAAGCCTACTAGTAACAGGAAACTACTAGGAACAAAGGGCATCGCTACTAGGAGCAACGACGCTACTAGGGGCTGCTGGCCTTAAGGGTAAGCCAGTAAGCCTCTTTTCAAGGGGCCTTTTTGCAGCCAAGGTGAGTGTTTGTAGCATTGATGATCCTGGTCATTGCGCTCCAACAACCTTGTCAGGGCACGTGGTCAGCGCCAATATCAACGGTTTGACAACACTTGCATCAACAGAAAACCGTCTCCTGGTGCAGACAAGTCTTGACCTGGGTGCCGCTACCTATGTCGGTGAGAAGTATGAGGTGGGAAAATCAGTGCTTGTGGCGGGACGCTACTAGGAGCAAGGACGCTACTAGGGGCTCCTGGCATCGCTACTAGGAGCAAGGACCCATATGAATATGAATATGCTTATTGTCACCGAGTTGGTTTGCTTATTTCAAAGCTTAGGCTAAGGACGAACCTAAGCCGCTCAAGGCTGCTTGTTCTGACCTTCATAATTACCTTGCTTGAAGTTGATGTCCGGTGATTGTGCCGCAAGGCACTGTTGCTGTCCTTCTTGGTATGGTTCCAGAGTTGCTAGGGAAGCAGAGTTTCGGCCTCCATAAGTGAAGTTGGATATTTTCGGTTTCTGATCCACCACTGTCACTCAAACATGGCATAGTTTGTCAAGCTACACATTGGAAGAGAAGGGTCGGCGTTTGCACTTATACTGCAAGTTTCTTGCAGTGTGATCATTTTTCTCAAACAATTTCCTGCTTGGGTTCTCTCTTAGGACAAATCAGTCTAACAACACTCAGTTTGCTGTCGGAAAGCTTTGTGGCCTCGGCTCGTCCGGGATGTTACAGCTTGTGTGTGAGGAGGTTGTGCGGGCGTGTTCTTTTTTGTCATGCTGGGATTGTTTTTCTCGGGGTCGAAAGAGCTGTGTCCGGGGTGTGTTCGTGTTTTGCATCGCGGTCAGCTTCACTAGCTCTTTTTCTCTGTCTAGCTTGGAACTGCTTCTTCAGGAGTGTGTTTGGGCTTTGCCATCCATGTCACGTATTAAGTGCCCTATCCGCAGGACCGTTCTGTAAAAATGCTCCAATATGGATCACTTAACTTTTGGGCCTTCATGCTGAGGGGGCTGACAGGGAAGCGGCGCTGCTTGTGAGTCAGGCTATACTGGATTGAAGGACTGCAATTGTTGCGCATGCGCTGCGGCACCGATGTAATGGCCTGGTTAATTCTTTTTCAACTTCTATGCAGGGAGACGTACCTCATGTTAGCATTTTGAGCAGCTTGACACGCCAGAAATGGCATTTTCTTGGCAAGTTAGCACGTTTCAGTATTTTATAAGTCAATCTTCCAAGCCGTTCAGGGGGTCAGTGCTGCCCTGACCAGGTGCGACTCCATCGGGGTTTATTGCCTTTGCGCGAGGTATTTCAGAGTTGGGGTGGCACTGGCAGAATGAACAAGACGGCCATAACCTTAATGACTGACTGATGGACTGTTTGTTGCTTAATGACTAGACATTTCTTATTCAGACCTTTCTTAGAAAAAACAGGGAATAAGAAGTTATGCATGGTGTTAAGCCAAGCTACATAACAGTTTAGATTCTCAAGGCAGAGATGCAGATAGTCTTCAGGGCACTTCCGGCTTTCGTTCTAGTTGGGTTTTGAACACGGGGGAACCACTGGCCAAAAGAAACGTTGCTAAGGTCTTGTCTGACGGAACATACTACTTTCGCTCATCTTTGTTGCTTGGTCAAAATGCTCATGGTTTGGCGGGTAGCTGCTAGGAGCAACAGAAGATTGATTACACTGTGAAGACTGTTCAACACCATGGAGGTATTTCGAGCTGGGCAAAGCAAAGGCCAAAGGTTCAAAGCAGCAGTTCAAAGTGTATTGTGGCTCCCAACCTGAGAGATTTGGAATCTGCTCCTTGAAAAAACCTACTGCCTGCCATCCTGAGGACTCTTAGGAAGCGCTTGAAAGGCGGGCAAAAATCGTCGGCAATCATTGCGGTTGTCATCGATGATGCTGATGCTTGCTCTTATTTTCAGCTGGTCTCTTGAGTGTTTTAGATCGTTTGTTTTGGTGAACTGTTGTGGAAACTCGATCATTGCAAAGCCATGAGCACTGTCTTGTGCTTCCTCTGGATGTTTTGCGCAATAGCCAGTGTGCCCTCCTTTTTCCGGAAAGCACCTGCGAAGGGTTCTCCATAAAGAACGGCTGCCAGCTTCAACTGTCCAACCATCATAATAAAAATAACAACAACAATAATAATAATCATCATCATACAGGTGCAGAGATCCCGGAGATTCAACTGCTACAACACACCCACATCGATACGAGTGTTTGAAGACATGTGGTTGGAGACAGGGGTGCAGATACAGGTGTCTAGATACAGGTGTTCGGATACAGGTTTTGAGATACAGGTGCAGAGATACAGGTGAAGACACCTACGCAACTAATTGGTAATCTTCATTTGAGGCGGCGGGGGGGGCCCGGCCGATGCTCACGAAGCGCCACCCTCTGTGGAGACCGTGCGTGTCAGATGCGCGAAGCTGTGGTACTATGGAGATCACTTGTCGAGGTCAAATGGAGGAAAGCCGCAAATTCTTGGTGCTGTCGGCGGCCTTGTCAAAGGGACCACCATCAGGTCTACATTGGTTGCTGGGTGCCTTCACTTTGGCCATACTACCCTCCCTACCACTATGGCCACACTCGAATCCTTCCGCTGGTCATCCAGCCAGACAATCTCCTATCCCTCCAAAGTGCCACAGCCTGTTGCTCGTGGCGCGCTTGGTTAATCCTTTTCGTTGGTCACTCCGGTGTCATACAGAGCGTCCCCGTACCCTCATGCAGCTTCGGAGAGCTCTTGAAGTTGGCCCTTGTTGACATTGGTTGCACGCTGGTGGCAGAACTCTCAGCTGGCCAAGGTGTCCCTTCGGCAGCAGCCTGGCAACGCAATTGACTAAGGGCGTGTGGAAAAAGGTGTCGTTGGAGTGGTGGGCTGGTTGCCTCTTCATTCGACTTCACCCCCGCATAGCGAACAGATGCTGCGCTAGCCTGGACAGGGCACGCGTTCTATGAAGAGCCAGCTACCTACACCTCCCCACACCACTCCAACCACACACACACACACACACCGCGTACGCAGGAGCTTCTTGCGCAAGTGGAGGATTGCCCCGATCGATCATCATCTAAGGATAAGCAAACCCCCTTTCAAGGGAACCTTCCAGTGCCTGCCACCTTGCGCTCGGTAAAGAGGTCTGGACAGAAAGGCCTTGGCTCATTTCCCTTTCAAGCATTTCCCTTTCTGTCCAAATCCCTGCAAAGCCTCACAGGACCTTGCGTATCTGTCAAGGCCTTTTGCGTTGCTTCCTTGGTCTTGCCTATTTAGTTTTCAATGTGTTCCTGTTTAGTCTGACGTGCTCCCAACACATCTTAGCAACGCAGAGTTCCTGTTCCAGTACAGATTGTACCCCATGCTTGCAAGCGCTTTGTCCTCCTCTTGTTTGTTTGGCGTCCTCCCAATTAGTTTGAAAAGAAATGCCTGGCAATGATAGCTGTCCGCCTGGTCTGGGGCCTCCAGGTTCTCACGTGGCCGTGAATCAGGAGCTTTTATATTTAAACAATGCAATTGTCAAACAGCTGGAATTACAAATTCGAATTTAAGGAGTCGACGCAAAATATAACGCCGAAACTTTGTGGGGTCTACGCTGGGATGCTCCACGACAAAAGCGCCCGCAAGTGCAAAATGCTGTTGCCGGCGCAGGCAGAGGTGTCCCGCGAGGCGCGTGCGACTGGCTGTGGCCTTGCTGCGCGTAAACTTTATTCTGTCCTGTGTATCAAGAATGCTTTGCAGCAGAGGCGACAGGAGCGCCCCAGTTTAAAAGCTGCCGGCGAAGAAACGCCCTGCCAGGTACACGCAACTGCCTGTGGCATTGCTGCGCGCGCAACAGGTCTTGTTCTGCGAGAAAGACTGCTTCGTAGCGCGCTCCAAGTGGAAAAGCTGTCGTAGTTCCGCAACTCTGGCAACTGACGGCGCTTTTAGGGTTTCTAGCGCCCAATAGTGGCGGCAGTGGCGCCCGACACTGCCTCAGGCGTTGTAAGGCGGCGTCCTGGTCTCCGGCGACAAACTGTGCGCCGGGAGAAGTTCTTTCCATATCCAAAGGGTTGGTGTTCGACCAAAAGACCCTTTGAACGTGCATGAAGTATCGTCGCGGCGGTGCAAAGCGCTTGCGAAAGATACCGTGCGAGCAGTATGATGCGGCTTCCCATCATCATTACGGGCCAATTTGGGGTGTGGGCCGTTGGGTGTGGCTGCTGTGGATGTGCTGAGCGCGACTTAGACTAAGTGACGACCTTCCAAAGCGTTGCGTGGCAAGCCCTTGAAGCCGCTGGACGATGGTCAGGCGCCCCACATTCTGTGTAGTGTTCTGGCAGTGTGCGCTGCTTTCAAGCAGACCCTCCAACACACGCCCGCTGAGCCAGCTAAATGTTGTGGAGGGGCTTCAGTTGGCGCTGAGTCGTCGTGTCGCAAGGAGCGCCTGCGGCGTGGATGAGGCCTAAGGAGGAAACAGTGAGTGTGGTGACAAGCCAACAAATTTGGCGTTAGCAAGCAGTTCTTTGATTTCAAGGCGGGATTGAAGTGTGAATGATTGATGAGTTGCGCGCTCACCTTCCACCAACTTGCGAGACCAAAAAAATTCGCACGTGATTGCTTGGTCTCGGTTCAGTTGATCGATTGAAGGGTTGTTGGGGTGGGGGAGATTCTGTGATTGCATGGTTTTGATATGGAAAAGTGGAGAAATGACTCTATGGACATGAGGAGAAAAGGAAGACGACACGACAAGAGAGCGAAGGGGAGAGACGGGTAAAACATGGTAATACTTTTTGGCACCACGAAGCTTCGTCTTTGAAGGTTTTGCGCCTGATCGCATGAAGGATTTGTTCATTGCTTCTGCTGAGGATATCCAAATGCAGTGGGACACCCGTGATGGTGACACCAGGCTGCTGGACATGAGCAAGGTGTTGGTATGGATGAGAAAGCCTTGCGCGCAGCCTACCTATCTTGACTTCGGAATGTGTGGTGGCTACAGAGATTCCTTCAACGCAGAGGCTCCTTTGAAGAGATTTGAAGAGTCCCGACCCCGCGTCAGTGATTGCCATGGTTCAAACGAGGAGCTCTGTTAGGCAAAGGTAGTGCTGACAATTTTAGCATATAGTTTCGGCAACATTAGCGGTACGTGTGCTGCAAGGAAACTAGGTCGCAACACTGGAGGTTGTAACCAAAAGAGTCGGCGTGCTGGGAAGGCAAGGTACGCTTTTTCACATGGCAAAAACTTAGGGTTTTCAAGTAAGTACTGCAGCCGTGGCTGTGAACTGTTTCGGTCTTCAATAGAACCTTGCAACTCAGTCTGCCAATTTGGCTTTCTCCACTTCAACCAAGTTTTCTTGAGCAGGGATCCCCTATGATGCAATTGTGAACTGCCAGACAGGGTCTAGCCCCTTGGTCGAGCTGCTTGTATTTCACGCTCTGCCGAAAAAAGGCAAAACAAGTAGACATAGGTGTTAGTGTTGGAGGTGTAGCGAAGGTCAAAAGTTCTCCCGCTGCGGCCCTTACAATCCCAACCTTCAACGAGGCAAAGTTGAGCTCCCATCTCATAGACATCAAGGTCCAGACAATTCGAGACAAGTCGAAGAAATCCACAGGAATGGATGTAGAGACGACATTTGTTCGTCGCGCGTAGTTCCAGTAGCGAAGTGTGTCAAGGTAGCTAGACGGCTACATGTGAGGTTTGCAACCTAAGGGATCAGTGCTTTTTGCGGTAGAATAGTGGCACATGTTTTGTTCGAACGCGAAGACTTTGGACTGACCTCCACTCCCAGCACGCCAGGCAATGGTGAAACCTTGGACTACAAAGCACACACTGAGGGGAATGCTGGTCTCCAAATCGCACCCATCTTTGTTCAGGTCCGGTCACTTGGTTCATTTGCTGAAGGCTTTGATGTCACTCAATCGCGCCAGGCCAAAGAAGGTTCAGGTTGACTTTGTCTACGGAGATGGCACCATATCGCCTTTGCAAGCTGCTATTCAAGGGAATTGCGCAGAAGCTCCAATTTGTCGTGGTAACGAGATAGAGCTTGACAAATGTTTGGCCAATGCGAAGAAACACAACTGCTTGGATCTTTGCAAGGACGGTTCTGAGCTCTTGCGGGGGCTGTCACTTTTTGGCAGGGTTCTATATTGTGTGTCCATGTCCACGCAGGTTTTTCCATTTTTAACACGCTTTGAAGATCTGTACAAAATGAGTTCACTTTTTAAAATACGTTTTTGCTTTGTTGGAATGCAGAAGGTGGATCACAGATTATATTTCTTTGGTGAATTCCAGACGCGGCAAATTCTAGAACATGTTGGCTGTCAAGTTTCAAGTTCGTGCTGATTATATAAGTACAAGTATAAGTATGTACTTTACTTCGAGTGGTCCCCATGCGAAAAGGCGATTTAACAGAAGGCGGCGTATATATTGATAGACTATCCTGACACATGCTGCCTGACACGTGTGATGTGCGCTGACACAATGTCCTGACATTGTTGCGTCATGAAGTTTGGTGTGTCTGCTGACACATAATCTTCAAGGCTGGGAACTGTTCTCGAATGTGTCTGACATCCTTTCTGGCATGTGTTCTGACATTTGGTCCTGCCATCAAGTCTGACATGTACTCTGACATATCTTGTGGCATGTACTTCTGACCGTGCCCTCCCATCAAATCTGGGATACGCTCTGATATATATATATATACTTGATCTGACGTGTTTTCTTACATTTCTTCTTCCATCAAATCTGCCTTTTGATCTGACTGTCACGTGTTCTGACATACATGCCCCGACATTTGCTTTGACATTTGCTCTGTCACATACTCTGACATTCTTTGTGGCATAATGTCTGACAAGCTTTTTGTTCTGGCGTGCAGCTGACATGCATTCTGACATCAGTTCTCACATTCGCCCGACAGGTGCTCCTACATTTTTCCTGCCTTGTGTTCTGGCATGAGTGTTGGCGTGTATTCTTGCATTGTTCTGACTGTTGTTTGACAAGTGTCGACATTTGTCCTGATATGTGTTCTGGCAGGTGTTCTTGCAACAGTGTTCTGACTGTTTTTGTGTCCTGTCATTTGTTCTGAGATGTGTTCTGGCATGTAGACTGACACTTGCTATGACATTTTATTTGACATTCTTTCTGCAACTCTGTCTGGCGTTCATTCCTTCTGGCATCTACTCCACCCTTTCTAACATATATATCGGGCATTCTTTCTGGCATGTGTTTTGACATTCTTCTTGGCATCTATTCTGACTCTTGCTGGCATTCTATCTCTGACATTCTTCCCGGCATTCTATCATTTTCTATCTGGCATCTATTCTGACATTCCTCCTCACATTCTACCTGGCCTTGTATCTTCCGTTCGCTCTTGGCATTTTTCTTCATGACATTCACTTTGGAATGGCATGGTTCAGTTCCGTGTGTGCCCAGACGGAGCTGAAGCTCCATGTAGTGTCCGGGTCCCTGTGTGCCCAGCTTCAGCTGACGCTCGCTGCGACATGAAGATGAGGATGCGGGTGCGGTCGGTCGGAGTTGCACCTTGCAAAAAAGTAAAGACCATCATCTGGCAGGTGGGGAAAAACATTCATGACACTTTGTCGCAAATGAACGCATATGTTTTCATGGCCTTGCCAGGCTTTGCCGAGGGTAGCGGGGAAAGCGTAGTCCAGGGGGTGCGAGGAAGTTTAGGCCCAGGAGACAGCGGATGGCTACAAAACTTGCAGGAGGAGGTGATGTCTTGCCCTGACCCTTCTAGAGTTGTTGCTTCCAGGTTTCCAGAGGGGTGAGACAAATTGACATGACAACGCATTAAAGCCGAACTATGGCTAACTACCCGCGGTACATGTCACGCAAAGATGAATATGCACGGTTGAAGACGCACGCACGCACACAAACACACAGATGCATTTGGATAGACCGAAAAGAACTCACTTGCAAATTGCAAGTGCCTATCCTATGTTTTCGCATCTAACCTATCATACGGACCTTAGATATCCCCATGGGAATGCCCCTTGTAGAATTGGTGTGGATGCCCAAAATCAGATTGATTTTTTAGAGATCTACTTTTTCTTTTGGCAACTTTTTCTCTATGAAATCAACCCCCACAATGATCATTAACATTTGAGCATGTTTCAGATTTTCAGAAATTTCTGATAGGAGTCTTGATTTCATAGAGACAGTGGAGGAGTAAAGTCGATGACATGCGAGTAGGCTGGGTGCCCTGATTTTGAAGAACAATGACAACGCAGTTGTATAATAGAAAAGTCATTCTGAAGCTCAAATCCTGATTCTTTAAGGAATTGTGCAGAAGCTCCAATTTGTCATGGTAACGAGATAGAGCTTGACAAATGTTTGGCCAATTCGAAGAAAAACAACTGCTTGGATCTTTGCTAGGATGGTTCTGAGCTCCTGCTGGACAGCTCACTTTTTGTAAGGGTTTTATCTTTTTTTCGTGTGTGTCTATTCTAAAACCACGCGAAGGTCGTTATTATAGACAACCCACTATTCAAAGTGGAATCTCCGGTAAATGATGTGGGACAAACGGCGGTGTGGCTTCTAGCAGGGGAATTGGGCAGCGGCTACTACAACACTCGCCAAAAAGTGCATGACATTTGAACCTTCTCTCTCTCTCTCTCTCGCTAGCTATGTGACCGAGAGTTCGCCTGGCTTCCACTGGAACACATTTCTTTCCATCTCCTTTTCATTTGTGAGAGTTGTTGATCGATACTGGTTGTTCTTTGGCAAATGTACACGTGCACGGGATTGTTTGGGGTCAATGTTTTTCATGTCACGTTGTGTGATTACTAAGTTTTTTGCCCTTGCGTTGGTTGTCCCTCTGCATTGGCTTTCATACTCCCTGCATGAGGATAGCAGAGTAGTTTTCGACAAATTTATGCACCCATCGCAAGATAACTTGTGTTGCTGCATATTTAAAGGCTTACGCGTAACAGCCGGGCGCCGGCCCACTTGGGTCTGTGTAGGGCTGGGTCGGGTGCACGTTAAGCTATCCCTGGTGGTGGTCCGCGTCGGAGACGGGGGCCCTATATTGAGCAAAGTTAAGCTATCTGGTGCGCATCTTGGCCCTAGGTTGGGCCAAGTGGGGCCATGTGGTCTATGTTGGGCACATCTGGAGCCCATGTTGAGCTTATGTTGGGCCTATGTTGGCCTATGTTTGGCCTATGTTAGGCCTATGTTGGCCTAGGTTGGGCCTATGTTGGGCCTATGTTGGCCCCATGTTGGCCTATGTTGGCCCTATGTTGAGCCATCTTGGAGGCTATGTTGGGCATATGTTGGGGATATGTTGGCTATCTTGGGCCTATGTTGAGGATATGTTAGGCAACGTAAGGTGTCTGGAGGGCCTCTACCCACAAAATGTCGATTAAGCCTGTCCGCCCAGCGCGCATTACCGACACCACCCTTGAAAAGCACAGCATTTTTGCATTTCTCCCTTTTCCCCGCGTCGTACTTCGATATGCGCAATAAACCCTGTAAAGCACAGTGTTTTTTATACCTCACACACACGATACACTGTAAATTACAGGGGCTTCAGTGACCCGGTGGTCCGCCCGTTTTGGGACCGAGGGTCGGCGGCAGGGGGCGCGCCCGTCTATAACCTTCGGTTACCACCGAAGGCCCTCCGGGCATGCCACGGGCTTCGTGGCCGGCGCCCGGATTTATGAGGCTTACGCCTGTGACAGCCGGGCGCCGGCCTATTTGGGTTTGGGTATGTGCAGGGCTGGTTCCCCGCTCTCTCTCTGTCTCTCTGTCTTTCTGTCTCTCTCCCTCTCCCTCTCTCTCTCTCTCTGTCTGTGTCGCTCTCTCTCTCTCTCTCTCTCTTTGAGACTTGGTGGGGCCTATATTGAGCAAAGTTAAGCTATCTGGCGCGCATCTTGGCCCTAGGTTGGGCCAAGTTGAGCCCATGTGGTCTATGTTGGGCACATCTTGTGCCCAAGTTGAGCCTATGTTGGGTTTAGGTCGGCGTATGTTAGGCCTATGTGCGGGCTATGTTGGCGTATGTTGGCCCCATGTTGGCATATGTTGGCCCTATGTTGAGCCATCTTGGAGACCCTCAAGAAACAGAGAAAACCGCATCTTTTTCACGAAAACCACGTCTTTTTCACGCACTCCAGCCTCCGAAAGCGCCATAAACAAAAGAAAGACTCTAGAAACTAAGAACTCCAAAGAAAGAAACCCACTTCTTTCTCACGATCCCAGACCCACTCGAAAGAAAGAAACCCACTTCGTTCTCACGGCCCCAAAGTCCCAGAGACGGCCGATTCCGCCACAGCGGAAGCAAGCCAGGTTCCCTTACGCGCTCCCCCTTACGGGGTCGGCGGATTCCTTGAGAAACGGCTGTAGGAGAGGTGCATCAGCGCAACGATGGACCCGTGCGAGGAAGCACGTGATGGCCCAGTTATGGAACAGATTGGGAGACTTGCAGTTGTTGCGAAAGATCGCCTTCCTGAACACCTAGCCAAAATGCATGAGTCCCTTGGCAGGCAATCTGAAAGAAGAGATTTGCAAGACCTGTGTCAAAGGGAAGTGGAGGGATGCAGAATAGTTGCAGGTTCTCACACAATGTGACGCGTGCAAGGTTCTTCGATTGGTTCAATGTGCAGATATGGGATGAGTATGAGGTGTACATTACGGATGATGTAGCTTCAATGCATTCATCATTCAGTGGTCATATTGTCACGCGCTGCGGAATTGGACAGGTCACAAGCCCCCAACAAGTGGTCAAGAGAACCGAGGTCTTGGTGGATATTGCTGAGCGCTGTACTTTCCGTGACTCAGCAACTCTTTACCATTCTGGCCACAGTTTCTCATACTTGGAGGGTCCTTGAGTCTTTTGTCCTAAGGAAGTGGAATGCTTAGCTTGGTGAGGTGGGGTGACGTCTCAAGTGTCATTCGCCAAAAGTTCAAGCGTTGGAATTTGAGTTTGCAGTCATGCCATCTCTGTGCCAATTTCATCCCATTGGGATTTCTTGGTGCAATCGTTTTTCATGGTTGTGTGATTTCTTTCAATTATGACTGTTTGCGTGAATCCTGCAACCAAACACAAACAAGTATCACTACAAACATTTGCACAGTTCACTTACTCGACGGTCCACCTTTTTGCTCCCAGCACGGGTTGGCAAAAATGGTTTTGCCGTGTTTTGAACAACTGGAGACAAACCATGAGAATCTACCGCCGGAGACAAACCTTTTCATGGTTCAAAAGTTTGGGTGAAGTCGGCCGTGAGCTGAAGTCGGCCGAAAGTGTTTGCAGAAGTACAGGTGAAGGAGCCTTGAAAGACATTTCAGAATTCCCCACCTGCCAGGTGAGGGTTGTTAGATTTTATCACAGTTGTTCTTCCTCTTCCTTCCTTCCTTCCTTCCTTCCTCCCTTCCTTCCTTCCTTCCTTCCTTCCTTCCTTCCTTCCTTCCTTCCTTCCTTCCTTCCTCGCCAACCTCCTCGCCAATCTTCATCGCCAATCTTCATCGCCAATCTTCTTCGCCAATCTGCTTCGCCAATCTGCTTTGCCGATCTTGTCTGGCAAGCTCCGGATCGCAGTGTGCACCCCTGGACCTCAACCGCAAGGATCAAGGATCCGATCGCAGTGTGCACCCCTGGACCTCAACCGCAAGGATCCGAGCGCAGTGTGCACCCCTGGACCTCAACCGCAAGGATCCGATCGCAGTGTGCACCCCTGGACCTCAACCGCAAGGATCCGAGCGCAGTGTGCACCCCTGGACCTCAACCGCAAGGATCCCCTCGCAGTGTGCACACCTGGACCTCAACCGCAAGGATCCGATCGCAGTGTGCACCGCTGGACCTCAACCGCAAGGATCCGATCGCAGTGTGCACCGCTGGACCTCAGCCAGATAGTTTGCCAGATACAATGCCAGATAGAATGCCAGGTAGATTGCCAGATTGCCAGATAGTAGGCCAAATAGTGTGTCAGATAGATTACTAGATACATTGCCAGATAGAATGCCAGAAGATATGCCGGATAGAATGCCAGATAGAATGCCAGATAAAATGCCAGATAGAATGCCAGAAGATATGCCACAGATAGTATGCCAGACAAAATGCCAGATAGTATGCCAGACAGTATGCCAGATAGTATGTCAGATAGATTGCCAGATAGAATGGCAGATTGAATGGCAGATAGTATGCTAGATAACACACAATCACAAACACAACCACAACCACAACACAGCGCACAACCACAACCACAACACACAATCATAGAACACAACCCGAGGACCCACAAACAAAATCGATAACTACAATACTCACGACCATGGCAACATGCTCCTCACTATGGCATCAAGACATTATTGAAATGTCATGGTGGGGATCACTCGAAGTAAAGTAATTTTTTGATGTTGCACTCCATTTCTGGGCTCTGGTGTGTCTTTTGTTCGAGTGGACGTGCAAAATCCGGCAGGCAGAGGAGACACAATATGACTTCAGTGGCCTGGGGCCGCATCTTTGAGGCATTGGTCAGGACGCACGTTGTGAGTCTTTGCTCCTAGTAGCTTCTTGCTCCTAGTAGTAAGGCCAGGAGCCCCTAGTAGCGTCCTTGTTCCTAGTAGCGATGCCCTTTGCTCCTAGTAGCGTTCTTGTTCAGGTAGTAAGGCCAGGAGCCCCGTTCGTAGCGTCCTTGCTCCGTTCGTAGCGATGCCCTTTGCTCCTAGTAGCGTCCTCTACCTTTCAGTTTTTCTGCACTTGGAAGGAGTAGTATAACAGGGTAATTTACTAGATGTTAGGCAAAACTGTCTTGACAATTTAGGCAGGGAAGTCATGCTAAATCTTCTGATACCATAGGAGCACCCGGCATACCTGATTGGGTTCGTTTCAGTGCTTTTGTTCCACATCGGGCTATGGATTTATATAGGGGTATCGCATCAGGGATATTGCATTTGCAAACTTCCTCGAGTACCCGGTATTTACAAGGTACCGAAGGATGCTGAGGTGCACTAGATTGCGAGTTGGAGTTGACGAACTGTTTTGAGAGCCAAGAGCCTTTCACAATGACTGGTGTACCATGTGCTTGTGCAAGTTGCGTGATAAGTTGTCTTGGCAGCAGCGTGTTGGAAGCCTGGACTTCACTCACAAGACGCGGTATATCACCTAGAATAGTATATAATTGGGCGGCAGTCTTTGATGTGTTGGGCTTCGATACTTTAGCCAATAGGATGTTTGTCCTTTGATTGGGTCAAGCGAGAGGCCTCGGAGCCAGATCTTGGACGAAAATTGCGGACAAATCACATATTGCTTGAGAGGTGAATTTCGTCTGGCGGCAAGGAGTCCGCATTCATGGCACAGAAAGGACGCAGTTGTCCATAAGACATCCAGGTCATCCCAAAAAAACCATCGGACATGCTCGGACACGCTTGCAATATGATTGAGATGTCTCTTGCGGGAGATGGGCCTCCGGGACTTTGCTCTTCTTCACTGCCTCGCTGCCAAAATGCATTCCAAAAGGTTGAGACGTCTGAAACGATTGTCGTGTAAGGCAAGGTTTGTATATAGACCTGCAGAATCACTGTACGGGTAGAGTCAAGATCTGGACAGTACCTGCAAGGTAATTCGTGTCATGTCTGGTGCCAGGATAAGAACTGAAGCAGAGCCCAGCACCGCCATATGTCCAACTCAAAACTGGCGAGGTGGCTCTCTGTCCAATTCCACTTGAGGGTTACCTTTACCTGGTCAAACCAATGTAATGATGTAATGTTACCTCTCTTGTATTTTGGATGGGCATGCTTGTAGGGTCTTTTGATGAACCTAGTATGCCAGTTGACCTGATCGCTACAACATCTGCATGGAAAACAGCTTGGTCGGGTAAAGATAGCTCGAAGTAGAGTAGTTTCAGCCAGTGTAGAACTTGAGGCTTCTGGTGCAGGCGCAGCCAAGACTCAACAAGTTTATTAATGCTATGCTACTGGTGGCAGTCGCAGTTGATTCCCCTGGGCAGAAAGATTGAGCAAAGGGCCAAACACTGATGTTGGCGCTCCGCGTACATATTGTTGCTATTTGGCCAGAAGGCAGGTCAATCTACATGTCATGCAATTTCTGTCAAATAAATTTCAAGGCGTTTTTGTATATTAATAGCGATGGCCTCCAACCTAGTAACGATGGCCTCCATCCCAACGGTTTTTTTTAATGCTCCTTACTCCCTGCCCGCCGATGTCAAGTTGGTGTGATCTCGCTTGGCCGATCGACAGGTCCTATGCCAATTCATGCTTGCTTTCCGACCTCCACGCCCTCCAAATTTTAACTGCTCGTGTTGCCAAGGGGTTGCTCTTGGATTGAGCATTTGGTTCCGTTCTGCGTCAAAACTAAATGCAATTGATGTTTTGTATAGCTGTGTATTTTTGGATCATTTTGGTCTATTTAAGAGCAAGTGAAGTGGCTCTGCAACAGAGTTGGGGAGCGTTGTGGGGATTTTGTTTTGTCTTTACCATCAGGGCTGCTAGACTGCTAGATGTCTTGGCGCAGGAACCCAGCGTTTTCGTTCAACCATTCATTTGGAAAGATTCCTGCCGATGCCTGAGACTTCTTCAAATTTGTTGCTTTTGCAAATAGGGTTTTCAATCAAGGTTCTACGAGCTCTATTCGATGACCGACCACAGGAGCCCAATGGTCCCAAGAAGTTCGATACCAATCAAGTGCGAGAACTTACCTACTTCGCTTCTTGTTACTAGTAGTACTGGCCTCCAACCTAATAGCGATGGCCTCCCCTAGTAGCTTTTTGTTACTAGTAGTAATGGCCTCCACCCTTCGCTTCACTCTTGCTTCACAACTTGTGCTTCAGGACTTTGTTTGGGATTTCGGTCTATCCACAGTCGCTGTACACAAGCCCAGCTTGCAGGCCCTGACCTTGCCAGTTTCTTGGCTAGGTCCTCCCGGAGTCCATGGACATCAGAATTGCACAGCGTTAGCAGACGTTGGCACGAGTCAAAGAAGCATAACAAAAACACTATGTTTAACTACTCGGTGCTCTGACCTTTTACCACTTGCAAGAACATGTCTGCTCCACCTGCAAAAAGGAGATTTGGCCACCGCCCAGCCCAAATGCAGGAAATGCCATGACCATGGAGAGCCAGTGATGTTTGGTCTGTCCGACATCGTGTCGCCAGCGGAAATAAATCCTTTTCAAAGCAATGTCCGACATCAAGTCCAAGTCCACAATTCGTCGCCCCAAGAAAAGACGCAAACAATGCGGGCAAGCCGTGTGATGAAGGCCATTCCGCTTCTGTTGGGGTCTATGAGGAGCTGACCATATTTGTCAGGTCCTGGAAAATGTGTTGGGTTTCAGTTTCGATGGATACACTTCGACTGCAGAGAGGTAACCATTTTGTTGACATCCATTTATATTTGTCCTGTGTTAACCAGCATAGGTGAACGGACCCGTCGTGCGGGCGGATTCAGTGACTTCTTTTCGGTCGACTCAAGCTGGACAAGAGCCGGCACTGCCCCATGCTTTCACATGTTTGTAACACTGTTCAGCATGCAGCATTCTGAAGTATATTTGTGGGGCAAACGCGGAATTGGTCCAGCGAAGCACTTCATGAGGATCCGCGAAATGAAAGCAAAAGCAGGGAGGCAAAGTAGAGATGGTACAGTTTCGTGCCTGCCCATGTTTCAGTCTACTGTATTGCCATCATTTTTGGGTGTGTGAATGTACTGATAGCTGATGTACTCATGCTGGTCAAGATCCCCCACATCCCTTTACTTTATCCACTTCGCCATGCTAGTATGGACCATTTTTCGGGGAGGTTGCCAGCGCCGTCAGAAAGCTCCTTCAGCTGTGTGGCCAGAAGGCTCCTTCGCGAGCTCCTTCAGCTCCTTTAGGTCAGGCGAGTCGCCCAAAGTTGCACAAGTTTGGGTCCTCCTTCGTCCTTCCAAGGTTGGTCGTTTCAGCAGAGCTTATAGCAGGGCTATCGGTGGATCTTTACGCATCTTTTCACTGTTGAGCCGTGCACGCCAAGAATAGCTCAGAGAGTAGAGGAGTAGAAGTCCATTGCGACATCACGCGCGTCTGGTATTTGACGACACCGGTTTACCGATTTACACCGGTTTACACCGGTTTATCGATTTACACCGGTTTACCAATTCACACCGATTTACACCGGTTTACTTGAGAGCAGTAGATCACTTGAGAGGTAGGTCACTTGGGAGCGTCTACATTACGACCGCATAGGGTTTTACCACCTAGTCTTGACGAGATTCACAGAGGTTCATGTCAAGCACAACCTTTTTCAAGGCTGTTTCCAGACATGCAAAGGACCACAAACATCCCAAAGGTGTCCTTTTTGAACAATTTTCAGGACAAAAAAATACACATGTTTTTGTCCTGAAAAGTGTTCAAAAAGGACATTTTCAGCATCACCATGGTGCCAAACCAAGTGGTGCTCAGTGCAAGCCATCAGCGCACATGTTTGCATGTAAATCCAGCCGGTGATTGGTGCCTTTTGAAGAATGATAGAACGACTACACACTGCAAATCGTAAACATCTCTAAACCCAGCAAACCTGTAAACCCGCGTAAACCCGCGTAAACCCGTAAACCCGCGTAAACCCGCGTAAACCCGCGTAAACCCGTGTAAACCCGCGTCACCAAATTCAGGCACATTTCCCGCTGCACTGTAGAAGTCTGTGAATATGTCTATGCTTCAATTACAATTCCATTTTCGCAGGGCCGGAAGTACTCTGCCTTTCTGTGGCCCACTGGGCCCACTGCCCGGAAATCAAAAACCTGCATGTTCCTTCCAGATGGTTAAAGTACCGGTTGGTTGTCCGACCCTTGGCCTTGGGTCGGGGCCGCTGACGGGGCCCAATACCACAGGCCGCAGCCTAACATGCATTCCGAAGTGAAGAGTATTTTCCTACTAGTAATTCAGATTCAATTTCTGTTGTTCATGCGTCTTTGGTCCAAACCTTTCTGTGTTCCTAATCTCCCAAAGGTGCACCCCAAACAGACATCCCAAAGAACACTGTAAGTCCGAAGTAAAATTATATTACGAAGCCAGCTTATAGGCTAGGCTCAAGTTCTCTTAGACGAAGTGAGTTTTAGGGTGTTGGTGGGTGTTTGTTCGTGCCTACGACGCTAATCGGGGCCCAGCGCAAAACCACAATTTTACATGACCCCTCCACTAAAAAGATTAATTGGAGGGGGGGTGACCCACAAAAAGTATTCTTTCTCCGACAATTTGATCCACAATCTTAAGTTTGATTAACAGAATAATTTGCATTTTTCCGGTGTACCTTGGATCAAGCTAGCCAACTAAATTGATCGACCCCTCCTTCAGAGGCCAACCCCCTGAATCAATTTTTGTTGCCTGGTTTTGAGTGTGATTGCTGCTTTCCTGCTTGGTTTGCATGCTGTGGCCATCTT